CTATTTGTAGCTCGTCAGTGTCTCACTTTCGTTATAAAGTAAAGGGGTGTTAACGAAACCAATTTGTCATTGTTAACAAAAACAACTCTGTACCAGGTTCAATGCCGATACATGAAGTAACCAGCCAGCACCATGTTAAGTGACGAATCGTACAGGGTAAGGACTAATTTCTACTGATAAGTTTATTTTACAACATAATCTCGAGTTGGAACATCTTTTGGGGGTCAAAGGCAGCTGCATGCCTTGCAGAGTCCGCCTCACCGTGCCAAACAGACATTTTGATGCAACGGTGCCCTCAATTGGTTGATAAATGTAAACATAAACCCACTTGTCAAAAATTTTTTTTGATTATTTTTTAATCAAAATATAGCTTTTAAAGGAAATACTGTAACACCATTCTGCACACCTCTAAACGCCCCGTGGAGGTATTATTTTCAAAATATAGTTTATTCATTAAATTGTCCCATAATCAAGCTTTAAGTAATTTTATAGGACTAAAGCCTTAAATCTAATCATTTAAACTTATGCTAACAATTATAACTGTAATTTTAGCCTACATTGTTCGGAAAATGCATCGTTAGGCCCTTAATGTATCCTGGGATATAATGAGCTACGAAGGATACACCAGAATCATCCTTCAAATCAGGGATAAAGAGGGCTGGATTTGTGGGCTGCATTAAAAGGAGTCCTTGAATTTGGACAGCCTTTGTTGCTTCACTGTGACGTAATCGGAATTTGCACACACTCATTGTTGACTAACTAGAAGATATTGTTGAATTCCAGTCATAAACTAAACTTTGAATTTAAATTGTTTATTCTAAAAGTCTTAAGCTTTATTTCATGCTCTCAGACTGCTCCAAAGACCCATTATACTTTTAAGAAATAGAATTTTGTGGCAAAGATACACGAAAATGTGGTTCTCTAATTTTGAGAAATTTCTGCTTTTCTGAAGGTTCTTTCTGAAAGGTTTCTTGATTTTGTTTTTCATGAAGAACTCAGCTTGACCTTCAGCAGATCTGTCATTTTAAAAAAGAAGATTTCTTAGCACTGATGGCCTTCAATCAAGCAGTGGAGAGCCCAGCAAAGGGCCACAGACTGCGACTTGGTGCCAGCTGCGATGTCAATCTTTAACCTTGATGCATGAGGTGCCCATAAACTTTAAACGTTTAATTACAGTATGAGATGACCTAACTTTGTTGTATGTTTTGCTGTTACTTTCTCTGGCCTTCGTTTGCTTTTAGAGCACAAATATTTTAGTTTGCAAAGGCAACGGCTGACATCTGGCAGATATGGATCTACATGAGATCACAACTGGATGGACAAAAATGACCTGGAAAGACGCTGTGTCACTGTCAATGTGTGTCTGCGCTGCAGGAAATATTTTTTTAGACAGTTTCCTGCACCTGTGTTAGAAGAGCCCCACAATGTCCAACAAAGTTACCCAACCTGAGGGACAACGTCATATTGAAGTCCAAGTGGGGTCATAGTTACACATCCAAATAGCAGACCTAGTTTGCGTATCCTACAGAAGTCCAAAGTTGGTCTTGGACCGATGGACCCAAAAAAGACAAAATTATGAATGAATAAAAGTGCCTGTGTGACATTTGGCTCATTTACTTTTTTATAAATACTTTAGAGGAAGAAAAATATCGAGATGAATATGGCTAAAAATGCTGAGTTATAAGTTTTTGCCCATTTAGCTCAGTCCTAGTTTAAAGCTGGGATACATAATTAAACATTTCTAAAGTAACTTAAAAAAATAACATCTGCCCCTGTTCTATGACATAATAATCTTTCATAATTAATATTTCACCTAAGTCCCTCCCCTGGCTTCTATAGCAAAGGGATCATTTATGCGAGCCAGAAGCGTTTACAAATCCACACGAGGGAGATCAGCAAGAATGCACACCAGTTCCCAGCATTCACTATGGGATGGTAGCACAGATAGTCAGAACACTGGTAGGATATTCTAACAAGGTGGTGCATTGTCAAATAGCCATATCTATCTCTCAGTGATACCCCTTCGAAAACTGCTTCCGTCATGTTTACATGCCGAAACACCATAACGAATAGCTTTTATGTTAAGTTAAATATTCTGAAAACACCGTTCCAGTGACAGGATTAAGGTGCCAGCCAGTTTATGGTGTGATTTTTGTGCCACCAACTTGAGCACACAGTGATAAATCGGCACAAGCACAGCTGCAGCCTCTCTCTGTGTGCTCAACTCTGTCTTCGGCACACGTGTCTCTCCCAGCTCTTGCTAAACTCGCAACTTATAAAGCAAAGTAGCCTCTCCGCCAGTCAATCACAGACAGCTTTCTTTTATCCAACCAAAGCATGTCCAGGAAATATGGCTTTCCAAACAAACAGACAATCAACAGCTTATTAAACTGCTTTCTGCTGCTTAGCAACCGGTCACCATCCACTTGTTTTAATTTATGTGTCATGACCATATTTTCACTTCCAAAAAAAAAAAGACACTTTGCCCATTCCTAAAACAGTTAAATTGCACTTTGTTCAGTTAAAGAGGACTACTTGCTGGATTGTTTTTATATTTTGTCTTTTAATTGTTAATTCAAGGACACCTTTGTTCCACATCATATCAATGCTATTTATATATATAAACTGTTGCAACGGTATACAAATTTGGCAGAATTGAGGTTTAACAAATATTCATTTGTTCTTTATTGTCAGATTTCAGAAGGATTTTGAACTAAACTAGTTGTAATTCAACTAATTAATTAAAATTAAAGTCCCATGAACTCATCACACACTGGTGAAACTCAGCATTTAACCCAACTCCTTAAAACTGAGTGTCAAGCAGGGAGGCATTGTTAAGGTCTTTGGTATGACCCAACCGGGATTTGCACAACGATCTCCCAGTCCCGTGTCGGACACTCTACCACTAGGACACTGAGAAGGTTATGACCACATCCTTTCCCCCTGTTAAGTACAGTAGACTGAAATGAATAGCTTTATTTGGAAATATAACATATCTAACTTTTAATGTACACACACACACACACAAACACACACACAAACACACACACACACACACACACACATATATATATATATATATATATATATATATATATATATATATATATATAACATATTTCTTTAACATTGACCCCGCTAATGAGCTGATTTAGGGTCATTTTTTAATAAAAACTGAGAAAATGCAAGAAGGCAGGGAAGTAAAAGAAACTGATTAAATAACTGGTTCTGTTAAATGTAAGCTCCCCCTATCTCTCAATCCCTTTGACATCCCTGCAGGTCACTATTCCACTACTGGAAAAAAAAAAAAAACTAGTCTCAAACTCACACCTTGGAGAAATGTAGAGTCTCCATTTGCCCTGACATGCATGTTTTGTTTTGTTGGAAGAAACCAGAGAGCTCAGAGAAAACTCACACAAGCACGGGGAGAACATGCAAACTCCACACAGAATGGTTGCAGGTGGCATTTGAACCTGCAACCTTCACTGCAAGACAACAGTGCCACCAACTGTGCAAACAAGCATTCCCACAAAAAAAGATCTAAACATAAAAATCAAAAAGAAGCACAACACTCCGCCTGTCTTCATTTTACTCCAACCTGTCACCTTTGCTCTCTTACTGATCCTCTCCCTTGTTTAATTCACTTCCAGTTGTAACTTCATGTCTCCCTGGCAGTGGCGCGGAGCCCACACACATAAGGCATTAATATTCCCTGAACCTAATTGCATGCAACACAGAAAAACATTTATTATTCAGCTAAAAACTGCTGCGCTGTATCACCATCAAGACGTAGACAAAAGGCTCCAGCTAGTGGGGACATCACCGTGCAAGGTGATGCCTCATTTCACACACACACACACACACACACACACACACACACACACACACACACACACACACACACACACACACACACACACACACACACACACACACACACACACACACACACACACACACACACACACTCACGCACACACACACACACTTCATTTGTTTCTCTTTTCACAGTCTAAGTCCCACTTGACCAGCGCACCATGACTGCCAACATTTTATGGGTGTGCAGGTGAGAGGGCGGCAATCAACATCACTCTAGTGACAGCTCATCAGCTAATGTTCACTCCCTATCACACGCCGCATTTAAAAACGGAAACTGCCTTTCACCTCTCCATGGATTAAAGACAGGTGCAAGAATAAATAAACAAAAGGACCGGAGCCAGCTGAAGTGACGTCTAATTAAATTAAGACAGTTTATGCCATTAGCAGCTCCTGGTGGGAGACGGCACAGCCAGCACTCACCTCAGGTTGCTGTCCGCAGTTTCTTGAGGCTAAGTTGTAGCTTTGTGAATACTGCACTGTTCCCTGACTGCTTTTCATTAAACCAAGTTTGCAGCAGCTTAATGTTACACTTTAATATGTTTTCTAGTCACAGGTAAAATAAAAGGACAGGCTCGGAGACAGATTGCAATAAAGTCTGATTTTATGGTGCATTTAGGGAAAGAAAAAGAACAGAGAAGAAAGCAAAGACTCAGATTTCTTTTCCCGCTGTAACTTCTTCCAATCTGTCTCCAGCTGGAAAGCATGGACATTTTGCAAAAAAATGTAATTGCCTGTCCTGTTCCTCTGCTAAAGCTGAACTCTTTGTGAGTCAGAGTCGCAATAACTTGAATAAAAGGAAATGACTAATAAACTAACACATTCGAATGTCACTCCAAAGGAAAGTAATTGGAAAAAAATGCAAACTTTGCCCATTTGTATTCAAAAGTTTCCTCTACAATTGATTTAATAGGACAATAAAAGCAGCCCAAGTGACACCACTGTGGCTGAGTCAGATTCAAACTAAGAGCAAACTTCTCCCTCATTTTTTACTGCAACAACTGAAAAAAGGGAAAAGTCATGGGATGATCATCTCGATACCAATGAAGTCTCATATTTTCTAACTAAAGAAGGCTCTAAATTCATTATCAGGTCAAAAGAACAAAAGAAAAATTGTGCCTCACCCCTCCGATGTGGCCGTCGGAAGCTGTGACAATCAGCCGGTACTGGTCTGTGGTCTCTCGGTCCAAAGGCTTTCTCAGAAGTAAAAGTCCAATCCTGCAAGATAGGTCAGGGAAGGTGCTCGTGTTACTTTCATAAATAAGGGAACAACCAGTAGCTCTGAATAATTCTTGCACAGTTTTTTCTGTGTCCTAGGAAGAGAGTGCATTCATTTAAAGAAATGTGTTCTAAGCTCTTGAATACTTCATCTCTGATGCAACACAGTGTCAAGAAGAGGAGTCCGTTTCACACTTCATTTAATGCCAGATTTGACAGATTTATGAAACACGGCATCTGATGGAGGAGGATGGCTTTAGGGTGAGGAGCAGGTGGGAATTTCTATTTTGCTCTGTCTCCCAAAGCATGCAGACTACAAACAGAACCGTTTTTTATTTTCCTTCTAATGACTGCTGCAGACGGAGCAGCCCTCCTGCTCGCTCACACGGTTTAATTTGGCTCTGGCATTCCAAACACAAAGCGTAGATGGATTCCTATGCAGAACGCTGAATTATCTTTGTTTGCACACAAGACACGCGAGGGCAAGTCGAGCCACATAAACACACGGAGAACAATTTCTCCTGCTGCACTCGAGAGAGGCTCCGCCACAACCAAAAGCGGAAAGAAAGGCGAATGCATCTGAACTCACTGCTAAATTAATGCCCGTAGCAATTCCCTGCTGTCCCCTGCTCCTTCACATTTCTGATTTAAAGCTCTTGTGGTCGAGCAGTCCAAGGAAAACTGGACCACTACTTTCTTCTGCAGTTATATTACACAGCCTCATTTTAAACTCTGACAGGCAAATTACTGAAACTCTGTCAAGGTTATCTATTTCTCCAAACACATGCCACAAGGTTATAGTGAGAACGCTGTTTCTGAATTCCCCACACCAGATGACTGCTGACTCAAGAGGGCAAAATCACAATCAATGTGGAACGTCACCTTTACAGGCTGAGCTACTCATTTATTTAGAGACGAAGAAGTGGGAACCGAAAAGAACACGTAAAGATGATTTTCGGTTACGATGGCGATGATTATTGACGGTGGAGTGTTTATTCCTCACTAGAGCGGAAGGCTATGACAATGCTTGAGTGGACGAGTCGGAGAGGTTCACCGATCCTGTACGATAGCATCCTGCCTCCTCAGCCCAGCCGCCACAAATGAAAAGATGTTGTCAGATGTGTAGGACACTATTAACGGCATCGTCTGGGGTGTCGGCGGTGTGGTCCAGAGGCTATCCTTTCCTAGTCCCACTAACAGTTGATCTTTCATTCTGCTCAGATCATGTCCCTCGTATGGGAGATTGGAACTGATGCAGAAGGTGTGAGCTCCCAGTGGCATGAATGTTTTACTTGATAGCAAGACGCACAAGATAAGCTGCAGAACTGAAATTCAATTTCAAACTCACTAAACCTCTCCAGAGATTTTTTTCCTGTAAGTCTGTCATATTTTATAAAAAAACACTGAACCATTTTATTTAAGACATTTAAAGGGGCCATATTATGAAAAATCCACTTTTTGGAGCTTTTTACCCTTGTAATATTCTTATTTTCTCATAAAAAAAATAAAATAAAAGTTTTTACCTGCATTTAAGCATTTTCCTGTTTCAGCTGCAATTTTTTTAATTTCACTTTAAAAATCGTATAAAAGCCTCAATAGAAACTAATGTTGTCACAAGGCCCTGCTGCTCTCCCCGAAGCTAGTCTCTGGTCTGAAGCCTGTCTCCCCTGGCCACCACAGGATATGTGCGACCGGTGTCCTGTAACAGACGTGATTGAGTGCCAGGCTGGCGTGGTGTTTTGCACAGGTTCACATCCTGATCTGTGTAGTAACTTTTTTTCTTCTTTTTAAGCTCCAACACCTTATTGAAAAACTAAACTATAAGGACTAACCTTTTCTTTTACTTTCTTTGTTTACTTAGCCAGTGTGAGTCCATGTGACGTGTGCAGAGATAATAAACTAAAGAGCTGCTTGGAAATTACTCAATTCAAACATGTTTAGAGACAAACTATTTTGCAGAAAATAATCAATAAAATATAAAAACATGAAATGTGCTTCAGCTGGCAACATTAATTACTGCCCACACCAGGGGTCGAACCCACGCCAGCACACGGTAAAACTGAAACAGCAGGCAGACACTTGTACCCCTAGACTACCATAACAATTTGCGCAACACGCCCACCTAAGACGCTGTTGTAGGCACGTTTTGCCGGAGCAGGTGTGGGCGGAGTTTCACTGAAACGTAACGTTTGATTTACGGGTATAAATTCAGGCAGAGGAAATTAACTCGTATTTAAGATAAATTACATCTCAATAGTGAAGTAATCTTTTATCATATACTGTGCCTATATTTGCTCTCAAAGATTTAAAATAGCATGATATGGAATTTTTAAATCAATTATTTGTATTTGTTACTCTATTTTTAAAAATAGACAACTGACCAAACGTTGTTTGGTTTCCTCACACTGTAAAAGGTTCAAAGTTTTCCTTCTTTCATTTCAGATTCAGTTCAAAGCAAGAATGCTGACTGCAAACGAGAACACGCTGCTAGAATCAATGGTGGCATGGCCTCTAGTTTAGGTTTTTGTGAGTTTGAGAAACCTTGGCTTCAGAGGTGATGCTGCAGTCGAACAGAAGTAGACAGGGCAGTTCAAAACACAGGATATCTAGTCTGAAAATCTACATCCATCCATGTGTTGGTGTGCCGTTCTGGATTAGCTGCACGGGAGACATGAGCATTTTCTTTTCCCTTCGGGGAGCGGTGGGAGGTGAGACAGATAGATGCACCGACAACCTGTTGGTAAAAATCTTCTCTGTCTTTATCTGGAATTGTCTGTGGGGGTCCCATGACACACTCCACGGCCCGCAGCAACAACGGACAGCCGCTCTCACTAAGTGTGTCTCAACCCTTGTGACAACTAGAATAAATACGACTCTTTGTTGTTATCACTACCGTGTGTGTGAGCCTACCATTTGTGGGTCAGGACGGACCCTTTAGGAGTCACTGATAAAAAAGAAAATTGATGTCCAAGGTGAATTCCTTGTATAAATACCACCGAGGATGCATCCAGAACCACTGGCAGCTGCTTGAATCCAGCTCTCATAGATCGAAGCCTTGTGTTTTTTACAGATTTGATCACAGTCAGCTCCTGCATCATTTGTAGTGAAGAATGTTGGTTTATTACACCCATGCTCACCTTCTCTGTCACGCTGAATAAGTTTATCCTCTCAGTGGCTTTGTGATGCATGCTAATAGTACCCACATTTCACAGCAGGCTTACGATTTTTACAGCTTCTGAAAATAACCTCCCAGAACGTGCCTTTTTTTCTAAAAGTAAAAGCGACACAAATTCCAATTAATATTAAACCATTATCCCACAAGGCTGGGCCTGTATTAGAGATTTTCAGTTGGAATAATTCTGAATTAGTATATGATGTTGTTGCACTTATTTGTATATTTGTTCAGGTGACCTATAGAGTACAGAACTTAAAGGTGTGGAACACTTGTTTAATTAATACATTTGCAGAAGTCTCTAGTGGTATGAATGCCTTGTAAGTCATACTCTGGGGAAAAAAGCCCAGGGGTCTCATTTATCAAACATTGCGTAGAATCCTTACTAAAACCGTACTTAAGCTCAGCAAAAAAATGTACTTAAGCCAAGTAGGTTTGTGATCTATCAAACATGGAGTACGTACAGCTGCAAGCAATCTCCGCTTCATAGATCTGAGACTAACGAGAATGTTTCTCAGCTGCATTTTAGTCACATCCCGCCCTCACCACGCCCACTTACTGCCATAAATAGTCAATGCAAAGTGCCTTGTGGATCTCATGCATATACATAAGCTGGCTGTTGCAGCGCTCTGCCAATGACGATGGCGACCGTAGATCAAGGCAGATCAAGGAAGCGCAATTTCACAGAAGCAGAAATTGACGTACCTGGTAAGAGGGAGAAATGAAAGGAAGTGCTTTTGCAAAACAAATGAGAGAAAATCCATGGAATGGCACAGCGTTGCTGAAGCCGTCAATGTTGTGAATTCTTCAGAGAGATCTGTGGCGGATATAGAAAAATGGTCCGCTTGGGATTCGATCCCCAGACTCCTGGGTGAAAATCACGCACACTAACCAGTCAGCCAAACAGAAATCTTCCTTGTACAAGTAGCCAGGGTACATGATCAATCGGGTCACAGTGACAGGACACACACTGTCACAGACATTCTGTCTCAATCTGTCCCCCTGCTGATATTCTGCATTCTGTATTCTGCGCTGCAGGCTGTGTGTGTGTGTGCGCACGCATGTGTGTGTGAGAGGATGTATGTGCGTGCACGCGTGTGTTAGTGCATGTTGGGGGGTCTTGTTCTGTGTGAAAATGAAGCAGTACAAGTGATAATGCTGCAGGATTTCATAATTGTATCCTTCTCAGCAGCAGCACTGCAGGTGCTCTCCATGTCCAAAATGTGCGTAAGCGATGTCCTTAGTCAACTTGAAGTTGTGCACATTTTTCCGCTAAGTTTTCTTTCATAAATCCCAAAGTTTGCGTGGAAAGTTGCTTAAGCAGTTTTCCGATCCCGTTTTGTGCGTAAGAAAGCTTGATAAATGAGGCCCCTGGTTCACCAGTTTCAGGAACTAGCAGACTACCAGATCCGACTTGAGCTTTATGACGGTAGGATTTGGAGTCCTATTTCATGATATGTGAACATCTCACCTCTAATTGGCTGAAAGCAGTGCAACTCTACCACTGACTTCATTTGTTCTGCTACATTAATGTTTATTGTCCACAAATAACCCAAGCCTGCAGGAGTTCTGTTAGCTTCTACTAGCTGAGAAGTTTTTCTGATGTTTCCTGGACACTGAACCAACAGCAGTCTACCCGCCACGAGTCAAGATGAGTGAGTCCTTGAATGTTAAGTGACAGTGTGACGTAGATCTGTCAGCTTTTCAAATCTCAGAGTTTCACCGTGTATTTTTTGTCAAAAGCCAATGCAGGAGACAGGTGAAGGAGACTATTTGTTTGATCAGCCAGCATGAAAAACTCAAGAGTGATCAGTTATAACCAAGCCCC